GATGTTTTTAGGGTACGTGGGACTATATAGGCGAAAGAAGTCGGTCGGGGGGGGGGGGTGCTCGAGGGGCCCACGAGACAGGGGGCGCGCCCTCCTATCTCCTGGCCTCCTCGAGGATCTACTGACGTGAACTCCAAGTCTCCATGATCATATTCTTCCAAAAAATCACGCTACCGAAGGTTTCATTATGTTTGGACTCCATTTGATATTCCTTTTCTTTGAAATACTGAAACAGGCAATAAAACAGCAATATGGGCTGGGCCTCTAGTTAATAGGTTAGTCCCAAAATTAATATAAAAGTGTATAATAAAGCCCGTAATCATTCAAAACAGATAATATAATAGCATGAATGATTCATAAATTATAGATACGTTGGAGACGTATCAGCATCCCCAAGCTTAATTCCTACTCGTTCTCGAGTAGGTAAATGATAAAATAAAGAATTTATGAAGTGTGAATGCTAGAAGGTGCACAAGTTTTATTAATGATAATTTCAATCATCTTTCCTAGCATGATAATATGTCATAACGGTAGTTCATCTCATAAAAATTCTCATGATAAAGTAACAAGCAATTCACATGTTAAAGAATAGACCATAAACTTTCTTGAAAACTAGCAAACTTCATTCTCAGTCATCAAACAATTGCAATTCATCTTATTTTCAGGAATAGCAAACTCCACATACTCAACTATCATATAGTCTTCTACAATTGCTAACACTCACGCAATACTAATGGTTATGGAGTTTTAATCGGACACTGAGAAAGATAGGGGCTTATAGTGTTGCCTCCCAACGTATTCACCTTTGGGTGATGTCAATAATAATAGTTCATGCTAACTTACATCCAATTGAATATATATATATATCAGGATCTTCCCAACCCGAGGTGCTTGCCAAAGGATAAAATGAAAAAGGGAAAGGTGAAGATCACCTTGACTCTTGCATAAAGTAAAAGACATTTAAAACAAAACATAAGCTAGCCAACTCGCTCCCAGGATGCTCCCCCGATCGCATCCTTCGTTGGCCCTTCAATGCTGGTCAGCGCAATCTTTTTTTCACTCCTGGCCGTTGGATCCTCGCTAGGAATTCATCCGTGCCATTTTCACCGTGTGGTAGATCCTGGATGGGGTGTGACATGTGGGCTCGGGCTAGCTCCGATTGGCTGGGTGCGAGTTTTTCGGGTGTGCGGGGCAGCCTCTCCTGCTGCGCCGCGTGCGCGTGCTCGTGTCGTGGGGACGTGCGTGTCTGTGGTTGGGCATGGGCGTGAACCCTAGCCCTCTAGTCCCCAGCCGCCACACCCCCGACCCCTCCCTCCTCCTCACTCCCTCGCCAAACTGTCGCACCATCTCCCTCCTCCCTCCTCCCTCATCACCAGCCGCCGCAACAGGGGATTTGCCTCCCCTCCTCCATCATCACTAGCTGCAGCACCAGGAGATTTGCCGCCACCGAGATCCAGCGCCTTGCAAGGTCCTTGGGTCAGCCTTGTCGCGCCCGCCACTCTATCGACCAGATCTGCGCCCTTGACTCCCTCTTCTCTCGCGTCACGCGGTGCCTGCTGCTCCACCATGCGGCGGTTAACTCGTGGATGACGGGGCCATGGACCGGTCCTTAAGGAGAGAACAAAGATGAGGGAGAGAGGAGGAAGGAGAGGAGGGAGAAGGAGAGAGGAAAGAGGAGAGTTTGCCACAAAAATCTTGCTGAGGTGCTCCTCTCTATTTTCCTATTACTTTCTCCATCACACATGTTTAACTTTGCTGATATGTGGGTTTTATAAACATGAAGTTTACAGATCTGAGGATGAAGAGAAGAAAAAGCATTTAGCTCAAGGGGTGAAGAAAATCAAGGTGATTTTCCTCCCTGTTTTGAACCTTTGTTCTTGCATTTAGATGATACAATTTGTGATCATGTGTATGTGCATTTATGAGATCTTTGCTGCTAGGTACAGAGTTTATGGTTACTGAAATTGGATAACCGAGAGTCACAGCTTCAGTTTTCAATTACAGTGGTTGATGTGTTATGTTTGCTGCAATGTGTCATGTGTGTTTGAGATAGAAGGATGAAAAAGAGGGGACTGGAAGCTTGATCATTGCCAGGATCTGGATTCAGAGAGAGGGGTGAAAAAGAAGGGACATGGATTCAGAGAGGGATGAAAAGAGGGGACTAGAAGATCTTGCATTGCGTTTCTTCATCTACCAATACGGTTTTGTGTACCATTTGAACATAACCAAGTAGTATAACCAAAGTGTGCTGGTAATATCCCTTTCTTATTTTGTAATTGGACAAATAGTTGCGCATATGCCATGTCTATGCAGTCTTTCTAACTGATGCAATTTCTAGGTCTATGGCTTCTCATGGGATGTGATTCTAGTCATGCTGCTTGTTATGAAGGTCAAAACAAAATTATATGTTTCTTTAGTTTAGTTTGGTCTGCATTTGTCTCAGAGAGCGAGTGTTCACAGGTACAGTGCTTATGCCATTATTAATTAGTCCGGATTCTGTTCTCGTGTAGAATATTCTGTTTAGTTTGGTCTGCATTTGTCCCATAGAGCGAGTGTTCACAGGTGGAGTGCTTATGTCAGTTATTAATCAGTCAAGATTCTGGCCTAATGTAGAATATTCAGTTTAGCTGGTCCACATTTGTCCTAGAGACCGAGAGTTACTGATAAAATACTTATTTGGCTTAAATTAAATTTTATGGATTTGCAGGCTGAGGTGAGCATCATGAAGATGAGTAGGCGAGTGGCTGATATAGAGAGCTCCTCGAACAGGGAAGTAGCATTGTTGGAGGAACTCGAAGATGAGAAGGTCAATTTTGGCATGTCCAGTTCATGCAACCTTTGCATCTTTACATATCTTCGCCTTACTACCATTTTATTTTTGCTGCTTTGGGATTAGGTTCCGAAGTCATGCCTTTGCCTTACTATTGTGCTGATACTGGATGCAACATTGTGGACCTCTGGTTCGAGCATGGCCACGGATTGTAGGGGAGGAATGTATTGCCTAATGAGTTGTATGCTTTCTTCAGATCCTCTGTGCTCCCTATCACATCTGGCTTGGCCACCTATAGATTCTTGGGTCCAGGTGAGCTCTCCTTCCACTCTGCAAGTTTTGCTTGCTCTTTCTGGGCTATTTGTGAAGGCTAGCCCCTTTCCTAAGTCTCTTATTTTATTATGGATCATGGAAGTGGGGAGTGTAACTCACATTTTTATAACACCGATCCTTTCGGTATATATACTTTGGTTTTCTGAAAGTGGATTGCATTTGCTTCCTGATCACATTGAAACAAGGGTGGAAATAACCATCATCCGCCGACCGTTCTTCCTCCCTCAGGTTCCCGATCTAAAGCGGAGGAACACGAGGTCGCATCCATTAAGTGGCAGAAGGGGGTTGCAACGATTTTCTTCAGTCTGACAATCATATAGTAATTAGATGGTGTAGTACTATGGCGGTGGTATACTGATTTGGTGTAAGAATCACTAACATGACTTTGCGTGTACAAATCTTACAGGTTAATGATATTAAGAATTAGTAGCGTGTTTTTTTGTTTACTGCTGGATTTGCTAACAATATGTCTCTTGTGTTGTTGATTGATATGCAGACTTGCTGTTTTTTGTTCAGTTGAAGGGCCCTCCAGGCTTAAGATCTTTCGAGGATAATTGTGTCATTGAATCTGAAGGTATATGATTGGTTTCTCAACTCATGTATCGATAAGCATTTTTTGCATCCTCAATATATTGTTACTTACCTGACTTGTCGTACATTGTGAGGTTTCTGAGGAAGTTCACTTCTTGCACGCGACATATAACTTGAGTTGCCTACAAATGATTTTTGCCAGTTCGACAAAAATTCAGAATAACCAAGGGAACTTTCTCAGTTTTGTTGTTCTTGCTCTTCTCAGATTTTAGGTTGGGGGTATTAACATATATGCCACACACTAAGTTTAGATCTTAGTGTGAGATTAAATTGGCATAAATCCTTGTGCCATGTTGAAAAATTAGAATTACAAAAAAGAAAGGAAATATTAAAGAAGGGATATGGTTGATTAGGTTGTTGTGGTATTTCTTTGTTAATAATTACATGCTAACTTGCTGGTTTAATTTAGGTGTGTGGAATATAGGAAATACAAGGAGAGATATTTCAGTTGCAATCCATATTTTACTCTATAGTTGTGCGCCGCCATGGTGTCAATTTTGAACTTGCAAACTGAACTGTAAAATGTTTTAATGCCTTGGCGCATGAAGTTTTCTTTGCCTGCTCTGACTACTTCATTTATGTTTATTTACCAGGTTATGCGATCTCCTATGTTGCCGCATGTTGATCTTCTGTTGTGTTGTAACTCTGTTTTGCTGCTCGAGGTTTGCTTCCTTTCTTTCTAGCTACATGTGTATTCTTTGATTTCTAGCTACATGCATGTTTTCCTTTTGCTCATGGCATAGTTTACTTATATCGAACAGTAGCATCTCTGTTATTACAGACATACTAGGCATGTGCTTCTTCATGGTGGCCGTCTCTTTTTTTGTGAGAAATGTGCCTTATGGCTTATTCTTGTATATTCAGTTCTTCTGCATTCAACAATCAATACCAAGCCATTTTTATGGAGCCGATAGTGTTCTGGTGGTCAGTGATAACTGAAAATCTCTTTCATTATCATTGCTTGCTATGTAGCCATCTTTCTTATTTTCGCTTTGCTTTGATGTGTTTGTTTCTATGGAGTCTCTGCTACCTTACAACATCAAGATGAAAACTAAGCATCTGAGTTTCTCGGAGCAGCCCTACACATGGTTGTTGTGCCTTTTTCCCTTGTGCTTTTGAAATGCACCATGACAGTAGTCAATGCATATATCAGGGTTGTAAACCTATTAGATTTGGGACAGAGGAAAGTGTGAATATCTTCTGATTGTTGCAAAGTAAAAGTTGATATTAGTGCCAGCTTAGGTGATCTAGTCCAAAGGGATATCTCAGCTTTATGAGTTGATAATATATTTGCATCTAAGAATAAACCTTAGCTTTTGGACAGAATTTATGAGTGAAAGTATTCTGGTGTATACCATCCTTTTGTGCAGGATTGTTATGGTTATTGTGGTTGTCAATTTTGTTGACAAAATAGTTCCAATGGACATCTTTTTCGGTGTCGTACGGTAGATATATTTGGTCTGCTCTTTCATGCGTTCTTCGGCTTTATGATTAATATTCCTAGAAATTTGAACAAAATTGAGCTATTAAATATACGTCCCAGGAAATTTATATTATTATAGTGGGGGCACTCCTTTGCATGGTTTTCAGTACAAGAGATTTAACCTTTTTTGTAGTATCATTCTCCCTGGCGGACTACATGTAGGTTGTTTTAATTACAAGCATGCCTTCAGCCCATGGTTCTTATATTTTTGATTTTCCATAGGACAATTTCCTGGATTAATATATATACTGGAGATCCAGGAGTCCACCCGAATTCAGTCTCCAAGAAGCCTTTCGTCCAGGATGCACCAAAATTCTTTTCAAATGTTATGTGAAAAGCGTGTGTGCTAGATGTGGCCACTGTCCAGTGTTTTGATCTGTCCACTCAGGTGCTTTTGTCTAGGTGCTAACACAACAAGCTGCTTATCTTATAGATACTTATCATATGTACAATCCTATGTTTGTTCTGTATGCATGTTAGAGCAGGAGCTTCTGCCCCTATGTGAGTAATCCTATGGGAATTAGCAACGTTGCTTGTACTTTCGAGTGGGCTCAATCCAATGCAAGTTTTTGGAGCAGTTGGATTCCAGAACAAATGACTAGGTATTCCCAAAGAGGTCAATCCACTGGTGGCTAGCATAATATCTTCATGTTGGGACAAGTAAGATGACAGATCATTTCTCAAATAATATGTCGCTGTTCTCAAAATTTTATTTTCTCTTCTTTTCTGCTCCTTGCCCCACTAACTATGACCTCAAGGTTCTTGGGTGCAGCGATCAAAGCAAACAACCATCATTCTACCCGCTCTTGTCATCGCTGAAGAAATTACAGTGGTTACTTATTACAGAAAGCCTATGACAATTTGCCAGTGTTGTTTGTGCAATATACTGGTTTTATGGCAGGTGCATGTTTGAATTCAGATGGCAGTGGTCTCCTTGTTTATAGTGATAAGAATAATAAAAATATTGATAATGGTCTTTCCACTATTACAATCATAGATTGCATTACTTGCTTCCATTAGAAAGGAACTGTGGCTCATGGGTTTACTGGATGATCTTTTTGATAGACATTTTCAAAATAGCATGGTTTAACACATGGGCTTTCTACTACGAGTATCGAATATGTCCTTGCAAAATGAAACTATTTTCATTGACAACATGTCTTTAATGGGTCTCTGCGCCATTTGGCGCAATGGGTCAACTAGTAAAGTAAAAGATAGGCCCTTCGCAGAGGGAAGCAGAGGTTGTCATGCGCTTTTAGGGTTGGATGCACAAAATCTTAATGCGAATGAACGTCACTTTATATTGCCACTTGTATATGGACATTTATTATGCAGTCCGTCGCTTTTATTGCTTCCATAATAAGATCGTATAAAGCTATTTTCTTCACACCAAAATATCATACATATTTAGAGAGCAATTTTTATTGCTTGCACCGATGACAACTTACTTGAAGGATCTTACTCAATCCATAGGTAGGCATGGTGGACTCTCATGGCAAAACTGGGTTTAAGGATATTTGGAAGCACAAGTAGTATCTCTACTTGGTGCAAGGAATTTTGGCTAGCATGAGGGCGAAAGGCAAGCTCAACATGTTTGAATGACAATATACTTTAACTGAGATGTGCGAAAACATAACCCATTACGTTGTCTTCCTTGTCCAACATCAACTCTTTGGCATGTCATACTTAATGAGTGCTCCCAATTATAAAAGATGTCTAGGATAGTGTATTTATATATGAAATCTCGCTTCCTTCAATATTCTTTCATGAATTGTTCAAATGACCAATACAATGCTTGCTAACCTTCAATAAATTTACAACCTCTACTTCTTAGATGTGAAGTCATTACTCCCCATGGGATAAGAAAATGAGACATATATAATTTCAGATTTATGACATTCAACTCATTCAACAATTTACTCATAGGATATAAGTGAAGCACACGAGTAAATGACAAACTACTCCAACAAGATATAAGTGAAGATCAATGAGTAGCGAAATAATTATGTAACTATGTGAAGACTCTCTCTCATTAAAGAATTTCAGATCTTGGTATTGTATTCAAACAGAAAGCAAAACAAAATAAAATGGCATTGCAAGGATAGCACGACTCATGTGAAGAAGCAAAAACTCAGGCTCAACCGATACTAACTGATAGTTGTTGAAGAAGAAAGGTGGGATGCCTACCGGGGCATCCCCAAGCTTAAATGTTTGAGACTTCTTGAAATATTATCTTGGGGTGCCTTGGGCATCCCCAAGCTTGAACTTTTGTGTCTTCTTAATTCCTCTCATATCATGGTTTCTCTTTTTATCAAAGGTTCATCCACACCAAACTCAACAAGAACTTGTGAGATAGGTTAGTATAAACCAATGCAAAACCTTATCATTTTCTACTGTAACAAATCACTAAAATTATTATTCAACATTGCATACTAAATTCCTCTGCATATTTAACACTCCTATCCTCAAATAGAATCATTAAACAAGCAAACATATGCAAACAATGCAACCATAACAGCAGTCTGTCAAAACAGTACAGTCTGTAAAGAATGCAAGATTCATCATAATTCCCTAACTCCAAAAATTATGAGAGAAAATTCCCACTGTAGTAAATTTATCAGACCTCAATATGCAAAAAAATTCAACATTATACCATTCTCTGACTTTTCTAGGGAATTTTTGTAACAGCGGTAAACTTTCTGTTTTCAAACAGCAACATGTATACTAGCAAAATAAGCATGGTAAAGGCTATCCTTGACATTTTTATTGAAAACATAGATGCAAAACATTATTATAAATAACAGAAAGCAAAATACTAACAAAATAAAATGACTCTCCAAGCAAAACACATATCATGTGGTGAATAAAAATATAGCTCCAAGTAAGGTTACTGATGGACGAAGACGAAAGAGGGGATGCCTTCCGGGGCATCCCCAATCTTAGGCTCTTGGTTGTCCTTGGATATTACCTTGGGGTGCCTTGGGCATCCCCAAGCTTAGGCTCTGGCCACTCCTTATTCCATAGTCCATCGAATCTTTACCCAAAACTTGAAAACTTCAACCACACAAAACTCAAAACAAAACTCGTAAGCTCCGTTAGTACAAGAAAATAAATCACCACTTAGGTACTGTAATGAACTCATTCTAAATTCATATTTGTGTTAAACCTACTGTATTACAACTTCTCTATGGTTCATACCCTTACATACTACCCATAGATTCATCAGAATAAGCAA